AAGCTTATGTAGTACTAAGATCTTTAGACGGTATTCGGATTTAAGAACTTGATTGATCTAAGTTAACAGGAAAAACCTCTTGCAACAGTGAAACTTTAAATGAAAAAAATTAAAAATAAATAGTAATTTAAAAAAAACTTAAAAAACACGCTTTTACACCTAACCGAGCTTAAAAGTAGAAAATATTTTTATCATATAAGCTGTTCGCTTACTGTTGGGGGAAGTACAAGTGTTAGTATATCACAAAAACGAATTTGTTATGTAATTGTTAATAAATTGATACAGCACCCCAAAATAAGCCTTGATGAGTAATTTTATTAATTGGTTGGTGTATCGAACTCGCTAATTGATATAATAAAATACACCATGTTAGCTGATAATTCATATGCAGATAGGGTTTCACGTAACATGCATAAATCACAATCTAATTTACATTTATCAGGGTGATTGGGAAGCTCAAAACGGTATCGAAAACAAGTAAGTTATCGAAGGACCAAAAAATGGTCCAGTGAAAGTAGATCGAAAGCACATCTTTTATCCGGTAGATCTACTGTTTTTACCCCCAAAATTCTCAAATCGCTACCGTTTTTTTATCACACAAATTTCAATCATACTGTGAGAATACTAGGTAGTATGGACCGAGATCTTTCCATATCTTTACATACGAGGGATGTCTTTTAAGTTTTGCATATAGAAATATAGTAGGCCGCGCAGATGTATTCTTCAAAGTTGTATTGTAAACCGTCCAGCCGATTCGAGAAAATAAAAAGCCTAATGAGCATACCATTTACCATGCCAGCCCAAACGTTCAAAGAAAATGTTTGTTGAAAATGTGACTGACTACGTGAGAATTTTCCAATGACCACACATGAGTATTTATTTTGGTGTAAATGCTACTAGGAAAAACCGCTCATTTTTTCAAGATCTGTACGCCATGTCCGCGCCAAGACGACAATTGAGTCAAGTGAGATTTTATTACTTAAAAAAGGTTGCTCTTTAATATCACGAAGTGGCATAAGTCAGTTTCTGATACCTGCAGAGTTATAGAAAAATAATATTAGACTTATCTCATTTTAACAGGAAATTAAATTTCACGAGGAATCTAAACTCAAGTTACTTCGTTTTATTGCCCCAAAAGCCTTTAAAATTCAAAGCGGGTACTAAGACTTCGAATCATACAAACCAAGAGAATTTTATTTCTTATCTCACTTAGCAAAAAAAAACTGAACGTACGAATCGTTTAGCGACGCCTCCTGCAAAAAGAATCAGCCAAACACGTAATCCTCAGCACATAATGATCAACCAATAAGATTTTTGTAGATAATGTAAACAGGGTGACTTTGAAGTTGAGTCATTAATTTTCAGATAATGATTGTAGAAGGAAGATAAACCAAAATATGTGATTAAAAATAAAAAAAAATGTTACCTTGTTTTATAAAGTATCCTCCCGACAAGTATTTCAGTGCGGACCTGTATTTGATCGTGCGGTCTTGGAGCACCGGCATGCCCTCCCCTGTGAGGTCTTAAGTCACCTGATTCACGAGCCCTTTGTACTACATTAACAAAGGCACGAGGGGTTGGTTGCACTCGATTGGGAAACCGATCCGCATAAATCCGTGATGCCGCGGCAGCATTTTGTAAAGACTCCACACCCATTTTTTATGGCGTTTAAGCCACGCAACAAACACCACTATTCACTCACGCGTTACCGACTGACACATTGACTGAATACAACTGAATAAAATTGTAGTAAAAACATAGTGATATGCGTTTCAAATTCTTTCGCTTTTTTGTTTTCGATGCGATGAACCGATTATATCCGTTGTTGCCAAACACGAGCACATAATATTATTATTGAGACAGGACGGTACTCAAACTTCTAAAGGGCTATAACTTTGTTACTTTAATTTTACCACAAAAATGTTAAAGGAAAAAGCATTTCTTTTGATCAGATCTACTCACTGTTAAAATAAATGACTCAACTTCGAAGTCACTCTGTATAGATAATAGATACGAATACTCTGCTAGTGTGTAGGCGGTTCCTTTCGATACATTTTTTTGTCAGAGGATTTATTAGTTGAAATTGATGGAATTATGTTTGTGTGATGTTAAGACTTCCATTTATGTCCTTATAACATTTAGATGGAATCTTAAAGTGATTTTCCATTGAACGGACTGTTGAGTTTATGTTGTGTTTGAATTTTCCAAAGCATGAAACATAAAAAGAACACTGAAACAATATTTTGTTCGAGTGTTGTTTTTCTTTCGCTCCTTAGACAGAAAAATATTTATAGATTTTGGTTATCGGTCTGGTTACGACACAGTAAACTAATTTAATCATTGGTCTTTCTATAACTTGGAAAATATCACTGGATTCTGAAGAAATTTTTAAAGACCTGTCTAATGATACCAGCATTATGACCAAAAAAATCTATAACTCTCCAAAACTTGACTTTATCTTTTTTTTTCGTTTCTGATTTTGAACGCAATCAAAAATTTTCTTAGGGAAGACAAAGTTCAGACAAAAACTTTGTTGATAAATTTAAGACGTAGTCAGGAGGATTCAAAGATTGTGAAATCCGGAAAAACTCTTTTCGCACATTCTAATCATCCAGTCACTTTTTATAATGCTGTCACTGTCAAATCTTTTGGCAGAATAATGAGTTCTAGCATAATTAAAATTGAAACCGTTTGAAACTAGTCTTTTGACAACGTTTAACAGATATTATTATACTTTGAAGTTGAGTCATTAATTTTCAGATAATGATTGTAGAAGGAAGATAAACCAAAATATGTGTGTAAAAATTAAAAAAAAAATGTTACCTTGTTTTATAAAGAATCCTCCCGACAAGTATTTCAGAGCAGACCTGTATTTGATCGTGCGGTCTTGGAGCACCGGCATGCCCTCCCCTGTGAGGTCTTAAGTCACCTGATTCACGAGCCCTTTGTACTAGATTAACAAAGGCACGAGGGGTTGGTTGCACAAATTCAGCATTTTCGTAAACGTGCCATTTTTTATTTCGTTCGAGCCACGCAACAAACACCACTATTCACTCACGCGTTACCGACTGACACATTGACTGAATACAACTGAATAAAATTGTAGTAAAAACATCGTGATAAGCGTTTCAAATTCTTTCGCTTTTTTGTTTCCGATGCGATGAACCGATAAGGCGGATTATATCCGTTGTCGCCAAACACGAGCACATAATATTATTATTGAGACAGGGCGGTACTCAAACTTCTAAAGGGCTATAACTTTGTTACTTTAATTTTACCACAAAAATGTTAAAGAAAAAAACATTTCTTTTGATCAGATCTACACACTGTTAAAATAAATGACTCAACTTCGAAGTTGTGATTTGAGTGAATCTTTTGTTTGTGCTGCCATATTTACTTTTATAGGGAGTTAAATAGTTTTAGATACAGCGGATACTTATTTCGCTATAATATTCACTGTCCCCCTTTTTGTAACCATTTTGTCTTGTGATAACACATTTTTTTTTAACCTCATGTGTTTTTATTTTTCATCACTTTAATATAACACGGACGTGACTAAGTCTTTATTCTATGAATTACGACCCTTCAATTTCACAAGATGATGTAACTACTATTTTTGGAAATTTTGGACACATAAAATGAAAAATGGGTTAATCGTTGCTCATTTTTGAAAACTTGTAAACATGAGCAGACATATCCACAAATTCAATGATGTAGCAATAGTACCTTTATGTCAGCAACAACTCAAATCTCAAATATTTAAAACGTCCTCCTGGAAAATTGGAGATACGCGAATACCCTGTATGTCTACAGGCTTAGATTAACATGTCGCCCCATTCTGCTGATTTATTTTTACACTGTTTCTCAATACATGTCAGTAGGTGTAATGTATTGGCTGAGGTGAGCCAAAAGTTATCGAGTGATTATTGAGCTGTAACATTGGTTTTTGCAACAGCTCATGGAGTGAGACATAACTATGAATAATCGCGAAATGTTTGTAAATACTCAAAAATAAAGCATTCAGACCAATTGATCGAAAGCAAAAGTATTCAAGGCTGCACAGGTATAAATAGAATGCATTTGAAACAGACGGATTATTCTGGCAGTTAAAGCTTCCTGTTTAGCTGGTTATAGTTAACAGTTTTCAATACTTTGTGGTATGATTTTCGAAAAGCCAGGCTAGTTATTTCTTGAACGGGTCAAGCTAACAAGCTGAACTTTATGGTTATTCCATAACAACTGAAAATTGTGAGACTTCTGCCGCCATCTTAAAATTTTCATCTGCTTGTTTTACGTTTACGGTAGATTGTATCATACGTCAGTTTTATTAAGGCGAATTTCAACTTGCAAACTGCACCCTAGTAGGAGAGCACCTTTTTGACGCAAAATGACTTTAATTCTGTAAAGAGAAATAGGACTAGTGGCGATCTGATGCCAAAAAATCACCGGTACATCTGTGCGTTTCTATCTAGAACCTCATTGAGACTAAGGTGCCATTGGAAGAGACCTCTCAATGTATACCGAGTGACAAAAAAGTTAAACGCCTACGTATGTTTATCAGAATTCAAGGACTTTCTACATATCGATTTATCTTGCCATGAACAAGTGATAAAATGGTCAGGTTTTTCTGTTAAGTTTTTGTGGTGGCTGCGTGTGTTGCTTGGTGATAACGCAGCATTCAGTTTTCGTACATTTACGGTGTCAGTTAAATGTTAAATTTACTAGTAAAACGATTAAATTTTATTTTACTTTATTTATTATCCTCGGTGTTTTTTATTTGTAGATGATCGTAAGGTGACACATTGCTGGCATCCGATGTGAAAGGAATAACATTAGTTTTTTATAATTTATTGTCAATAACTTACTATCAAACCAGTATTTGATTTTACAGATTATTTTGTGCTACGTTTCTCAGATCTGTCCATTCAAATGGACGAAACTTTGTCTTGAGTATAGACTGACCTATTTTGTTTTCCGGTTTTCCACGATGTTTCCCTAATTTACTTGTATTTAAAAGGATACTTCCATTCCACAACGTCGATGCACAGCTTCCTAATGGGGTTCTTGAGATAGAGGCAGAAGAGCGCCCTCTGCGGTCTATCTGGCGGTGGTTTACCGGATCGTCGGGCGGGTCTTTTAGGTTGCTGCTTCTGCTGACCTGGCTGGCCGGGTTGGCTTGTGGGGGCGGAGCCTACGGTACCTAGGGAGCCTATGGTACCACCAGGCGCGGCAGCCGTGAGCGGCGCTGGCGATGGCGATGGTACCACCCCTACGGCTGGGTCCGCCCCTGCGGTACTCATCGCGGAGGGGGTAACTGTGTACCCGCTAACTGGTCCGCCCACTTCCCATGCGCCGCGTACCCCTTGCACCGACCACAACCGGCTGGTACCGTAACCAGCACCTCCCAACTCATACTGGACACCTGCAACAAATAAAAAACTTGATACGTGTATTCGTTTTTGTACAGGGTGTCCCACGAAGAATTATATCTATCGATCACAAGAATGTGGGGATTTACATTTAGAAAAATAGGGAGAATGATAAAATGCGTGGTAGGATGCAGCTAAAATATTTTAATAATGGTAGCACCCCCAGCTATACCGCAAGTAGGCAGCAAATTTAAATAATATTCGTGCTAAACTTTTACCTATATTTAGCGATTCCGACGCACTACAATAAATCATTGGGTGGTTCAGAATTACCTGTATGCAGCAGGAAATTTTCTGTATTGTTTGTTTGTCTGTAATTGTTTGGGAAGCATGAAATAAAATGGCATCATTTTCAATTAACCGCAAATCATCAGTTATAAAAAATGAATAAGCAGCTTTTTAGGTCAGAAACCCTTTCTGTTAGCAGAACGTGATATTATGAAAAATGGAATGCGGAAACAGAGAAATCGCAAAAATCCCACTAAATGTAAGTAATTCGCAATTCAGGTTGCCTTGCTTCGCAAACAGGATGTAAAAAAAACGGTCAAAGGAAAACTTTTAACGAGCTCGCTATGAAATCTCCTCAAATTAACCGAATTTTTTGAAAGTTTGAGGAAAATCCGGTGGAACTAGCAGCATTAGACATCCAAGCTGCTTGCGTTTGCAGATAGCATACATCGTATTTTTAAACGGAGTAGCAGAACGTCGGACATCTGACAATACCTGCTATATGCAGGAACCGTAATTTTACAGAGGACGAAAAAACCTTATCAATTTTATACTACTCGCCTTGAGACTCTACAACTGGTCACAAAAAATAAATGACGTTTAATGCGTTTTTATCTAAATGAAGCTCTTAGGCCCGTATCGTCAGTCGTCCCTACAATTGTAGGACGCCTTGATGGCCTCCATGATTGTCATAGTTTTCTACTTTTCCGTGTCAGAACTCTATTTTGAGGTTATGTCACAAACATCTATTTGCATCAAATTGTGCTTGCTTTTGAGTTATATCATGTTTTATCAGCATGATATTTCCTACAATTCAAAAAGAAAACATATCTTCACAATAGGAGAGCGCTGACGCTGACACGGGACAAGTGTAATCTAGAAATTTTTGAAGGAGAGAAAGGAGTATGACAATCAAGGAGGCCATAAACGCGCCCTACAATTGTAGGGACGACTGACGATACTGGCCTAATTGACAAAATTAGAGCAGATAGCTGATATTTCTGCTAACTTTCTTTGCAGTTAGCAGATATTGTATTATGGTGCAGAGATGGATTTAGTGAGATTCGTGTTAGAAAAACTGTTATTCATTATATCAAATTAGAAGTTTAATGTTTTTACAAATCAAAAAGATAATAGCAATCTCAGTTACACCTTAAATGAACGTTCACTTCCATTTTTTCATCGGGATTAAAACATAGTACTTTGATGTCCCTGCCTGGTCTAATTGTTGAATATCGCTGCACCTCTGTGCAAGTCGTAACTCAATTGGAACACCTGATATGGCTCTGGTTTTGTCCTAGCTTCTTTTGACGCCTTAACATTTGATAATTCAATAACTCTATTTCTCGGTTTTCTTTAAATGCCACTGTGTACAGAGTCTCATTCCGTTTGGTTGTGTCCTTTGGTGAGATATTTCTGAGAAATCACAACGTCGTGTTTCATTGCAAAGTTAAGAAAAATAGCACGCGTAATTGTCAGATAGCTGGAATTGCCGCTCAGTGACAGACGTGCTGCCAGCGGTAGGTACTACCCAACTAACAATTATCACTCCTAATAGAGTTGCAAGAATGATTATACAGTATTCCTTAAACAGCATTGTATACTGTAAGAACATTAGCAAAAGTGTAAGCCTCTTGCAGCCGCTATAGGACATTTGCGTCAGTGCAAGATTCAGTTTCTGTCAACTATACAACTATTCTGTTACGTGATTCTACTTTATTGCACCAAATTATTTCTTATGTATGTATGTATGTTGTCTTTAGGTTATTAGAATATTTTGGTGTTGCCTGCAGGTGTTATGCAACAATTTGACAAATGTCTGAAATGAAATACCGACAGAGTCGAATGATTCACCCAGAATTTGTACCAGATCTATATCTTCTGTTTGAACGGTTGATAAAACATTTTGAACCAATATACATGCGTTGTTTGTCTTAAAACATTGGTTATGGCATTTTATTGGGTATTTTGGCTGAATAATTCAAAAACTATTTTTTTCTGCAGTTAGCGGACTGTATCACAATGTGCGCTGTAGATAGACGAAGAAAAATGTGCATATACCTCAAATTGGGCAGAAATGTCAGATAGCAGGTATTGTCAGATGTCCGACGATAAGTACTTATTTGAGGTAAAGGTGCTTAAAATATACTGAGTGAACAACAAGTGATAAAATGGTCAGGTTGTGAATCACAAAGATCTATTGATTTGTTTGCAGCTTTCAGGTTTCGATATTTCGATGACCAAAATTCCATAGATTCCAACGGAAAGGCATGCCATGACTTGAGACGTTTCATTTTTGATACAATTCATCCGTGACGGATACAGCATTATGGCATGGACCGTACTTTTAAACGAAATAGCTTAAGTACACGCTAAACTACCGGCAGAAGATCTAGCTTGCTTATATGATAGGTAAAGAAGCCACGTGTATTTTTGAAGTGGGCTCAATCGGAATCAACATTTGCATCCACAAGGCGATCTCCTCTTAATACGATACTTACACATGAGTGTACGTTCTTGTGTACACTTTTGACTAGTCACTTCGACATTTCAAATAATGTTTTGATTGATGCTTGCACATCTTTAGATGATTCCACAATCTCGGATTCTGGATGTCCGAATTACGACAATTATGATGGGAGGTCAAAGTCAGGCGGGCGTGTCTGACAGGCATTGTCTGTTAAAGAAGAGTCATCGTGAACAACACTCGAGGATAGGTCTTATCTGGACCTTGTACAGAGTGAGTAGGTCATGTGGAGAAAAGTACTTCTTAGTCCTAAGCTAATAGCCTAGATATTATCTTATATTGACTGCACGGATTTTCTCTAGTCACTTCAAATGTTTTTTCGAGTAATTTGCTGCTAACTTTGACAGCTCTCATATTGACCGTTACAAATCGTACCTGTTGTCGGATATACAAAACCTCATTACGAGTTTTCCATATACGATATTGCGTATTCAAAACGTATGGCTCTGAAAACAAAAATATAGCTCTTATTCCAAAAACATTGTATGTCATCTGAGATAATACCTCTTGCAATTTCGAAAAGTAATATCAGCCACATCTGGTCCATAAAGCGCTTCACAAAAACAGGCATAAAATGTAAGATAGAAATACTTGTACTAAATATATTAGTTGAGGTTTTAAGGTGCCAATCATTGCAGTTTTACCATAAAACCTCCATAATATAATATATAATAAGCTATTGTAAAACAATAATAACGGAAACAGGTTCATGTAGTAAATAACATGTTATACGGCAAGGAGTATCGACTCAAAAGTTTATTATGCATATACATGTAGTGGCCATCTGACCATATCATCAGCAATACCATTTTCCCAACTCAAATACTGGAACTTTTACGACAACTGAGTCCTACACCTACAAAGTATACCATAGACATATAGGATCAGAAAATATGGTCTCCAATTTGAGATAACATTAAATTTTGAGAATGGTTCGAAAAATCAGTTTTAATGAAAACAAAGTGGTTAAGAAGTAGCCCACAACAGCGGAAGGTTGGGAAATCTCGAAACTGGAGATACTACAGACCAAAATATGTGAATTGACCTAAACATACCTCAGTCCAAAAGTTGATATTTTGCGAGATACAGGATGTCAAAGTTACAATTTTATTTTCCATTTTTCCTTATTGATTGAGAGGTATTTCAGATTTTGGCATAAAGTTCGGTATAGGGAGGTTTTCTAGCATGAAAAATAAGAATCCGTTATATAGGGCGCCACTTACAGCACTATTTCTGTGAATAATTTATCATAACTGTTTTGTGCTACCCTGTATACAACAACTGACCGAAAAATCTTATTTTCTCGCATTTGCACAACAAGAAAGGTTCACTTGTTAAAAGTGTCTAAAGCTAATAGTTTTCGAGATATTTGTTTTTAAAGCATTACGTCTTGCCAATCCGTATATCACATGCATATCAGAATATTCATCAAACGTATACTCCATGATGTTTAACAACCTATTGTCAACTTAAAATTATTCATGAAGTTTTAAGCAATATTATGACAAACATTAGAAACCATAGCCACGCTACTCAGACATTATCCAAAGCAACTTGATTATTATGTTATAATGATAAAATATTATCATGGTAAAAATAATGCATTGGAACTTTTAAGAACAAATATCTCGAAAACTATTAGCTTTAGACACTTTTAACAAGTAAAACTTTCTTGTTATGGAAATACGAGATAATAAGATTTTTCGGTCAGTTGTTGTATACAGGGTAGCACGAAAAAGTTATGATAAGTTATTTACCGAAATAGTGCTGAAAGTGGCGCCCTCTAGGAGTTTGGCCATAAAAAATAACGGATTCTTGTTTATGATACTAGAAAACCTTCATATACCGAGTTTTATGCCAAAATATGAAATACTTCTCAAGCAGTAAGGAAAAATAGAAAATAAAATTGTGAGTTGTATCTCGCAAACTATCAACTTTTGGACTAAGGTATGTTTAGGTCAATTCATATATTTTGGTCTCCAGTATCTCCAGTTTCGAGATTTTCCAACCTTTCGCAGACACCTAGATCGTAGATAATGGAAATAGTACACTAAATATTAACCTCTCGGCGTTGCCGGGCTTCCATCTCCATTCATTCTCCGCTATTTGCAACTGC